ATACCAGGAATATCACAGGAGTGACACAAATCCTGTTCCTGTGTTCACAGCTTGTAACACCATTACTTGGGGACCACAGTTTTTTTCTGAGAGTTGGTAGCAGTGTAACAAGGACATTCAAGCATATACTCATTCAATTTAAGCTCCTATGGTGCTTGTCCATAACCAGACTGCTGGGTACAGTTGTTCTTTTTTAGAAATTGCATTCTTGCACCAAAAATTTCTCACTGCGGCTTTATTCAGATCACTGCGTTAACGTCACATCATCATGAACAGAGCTGTCACACAAAGATGAAAGCCCTTCTGCAGGTAACTCCTATTCAACTTTACTGTCAAAATTACTTATGACATATTAAGCTGGCAGGATGCTGAGAAGCTGTGGTCTTGAATGGTGAGCCTCTTCAAAATACTTAAATGGTGGGACATATGAATACATCTGGTTAACATGACAAGTTACTAATTGCATTGACTAGAGGGGACACCCAATGTCGTGCAGCTGATGGATTAATGTAAAAATCAATGACCTGAAGAACTTTAATCAAACAGAATCAGCAATGATTGTATTTGTTCTAAGCTTAGAAGTACATACTTAATTTATCACATTTGTAATTAAAGTTAATATTATCCAGGTGCTAAGCTATTTAATATCACTCGTTCCTAGCACAAACCTCAAAGCTGTTTCTTTTCTGAAGCCTGTGAACTGTATTTGGTAGTGCAAAGATGGGAATTCTGTGATCCCACTTGCTTAAACTATTTAATAACCTGCCTACATTTTCCACACATCAAATAAATGAAGTGGAATACAAAATGTAACATCTGTTTCTTTCTCTGTTTAACATTAGACAGTTAGATTCTAAACAAATACATTTAGGAAGTCTTTTTAGGAATTTGTTAGGCTGAACACAGCTAATCAAGGCAGCAAAAATCTTGTGTATTTCCAGAATGACCTCTTTGTTTGACCTGAAAATTGTGTATATTATTTTAAGTTTCTGCACATGCAAAACCTAGATGATGAAAGTCCCAGTCTTCTTTCCTTTTCTCTTCCTTTTCTTTATTAGAACTTCTTAAAAAGCAAATGCATGTTTGGGAAATGCAGCACATAAAAGGTTTCAGAGCATTGCTTTTAACACAAATAAATGCTCATCAGCAATCAGCAGTTAGAAGTAAAGGTGTGAAACATCCCCAAGAGTTCACCAGTGTTACATTTGGATTAAGTATTAATTCACCAGCCTCACCTAATTTCTAGTTGATTAATCCACAATAAATCAGGTAGACCCATTGATCATTTCTTTTCTGAATATTGGACTTAATAAAGTATTAGCCAAAAGTTCCAGCAATCAGACTACAAATATATTTTTTTCTCCCTTCATTTTCCCAACTGGCAGAAGAACAAAGCTTTAAAGACTAATGAATATAACTGGGAAAATATTTAATTTATTTTGTATGTATTGAATAGTTTAACAAGACCAGGTAAGATGAACATTCTTACTGACAGACACAAGGATAACCTTCATTTCATCAGATTTGATTTCCCAAAGCAAGTATTCTTTCAAATTTTCACTGGACTTTTGGTTACCTTACTCCAAAATACAGAAGTACAACTACATTTTACTCTCCAATGCATAATACATTTTGGAATACAGTTGCATACTGATGTAGAAGATATTTCTTCTGGAGAGTTTGATGGAAAACAAATTAAACAAAAGAGCTGACAGTCTGGGGAGAAATGGTCAAATCCCAGACTGATACTGCTTCCCAGCAGACTGCAGAGCTAGACCTGGCACAAAACCTATGGCCATTTGAACACAGCACACTGGCCAGACTTCATTGACCCATTCTTGCAGTCCCATCAACATAACAGGACGTGGTTCCACTTGCCTGCCTAGACCACTTGGCAGGAATAAACCACTTGAAACTCTTCCTTCTTTTTAATTACTTTTGCTGCCTCTCTCCAAAGAGATTCCACAGACCAGCAACTATTCCTCCCAAAACTGCTGGTCTGCAGTCTCACAAGAATAAATCTTGCTACTGCCTTCCTCGTGATGTTAGGAACATCCCTCGGAGATGAGACATGCTTGTGATGCTAGGGCCACACAAGCATGCCAGACCCCCACCTGCTAACCTCTGCATATCTGGTCCCTGAAATATTCCCAGAGGGAGCGCCACGTTGGAAATTTACTTTTTACTTTTACTGTCTCCTGCGTCACAGTGTCTCTGTCCTCTAAAATAAATTCCCAGGATTCAGTAATGCCTCCAGCTCATGTTTTCTGAACTACATCTGTCAAATCCCAGTCACTAACTGAGCATTTTTAATCGTCTTTTCCATTGATTTTTTCCTCTGCTGTCAGAACTACGCTACTCCTCTCTGGATCGCAATGACTTCAACAACATAATTCGAAAAGCAGTAGCAGCAAAGAAACCTACTGCAGTAGCAGCCAGCTGCTTGGATATGAGATCAGATGATATTCCAGAAGCTTAGCGTTGTATGCAAGTTTTCACGTGATGGACTAGGAAGTCAGCACGTTTTTTTCCAGAATTAGTTGTCTATTATCAGCCCTGCTAACAGAGATCAGTGCTTCAAAAGATGTAACAAAAGACAAACAAGGACTGAATGAATGTTTTAGAGGCTGAAAACAGGCAATGGGACTAAATGGTTATTGTAGAAGGACACAATTGTCCACGTGCATTTAAAAAAATCTAAGGGGTTAAAAGGGAATCGTTTTACTTAGTTAGTTACTCTTATTCAGAAAAAAACCCAGAAAATTTAGCACAAACACCAGGGGAAGCTTCCTGAGTATGAAATCCATGAGGTTTTGTAAACCCTCCCCCATTGTCCCTTTCTATGTCCAGTGCTTAAGTTGACAGGACACAAGACCGAACAGTACAGCTTACAACACAATTATGTACTGGTAGAAGACACTATTAAATGTACTACTGAAACTTAGTCTCTAGACTCATGATTCAACAGCACCACCTAGTTACAAAACCAGGAACAGGAACAGCTGTCTCTCTTGTTCTTGCAAGTGCCAGCTCAACATGCACTCCAGTAATGAGCTTTGGAGCTACTGCATAAACAGAGCAGTATCAACTTTTACTCCTTCTTTTCTCCAAACAGTTATATAAAGACAGAACTTATTCAAGCAGGCAAATTTTCTCATCAGACATTTTCATTAGAAACAGCCAACAGTGTTTCAATTATCAGTACACAGACACTACAAGCTGCACATTTACAATAAATGGTATGTGATTCAGCAAGTTGGATAAAGCTTTAACTACTCATAACGGATTATGAGCAGGAAATTAAAGGTGTTTTCCTATTTTAAGGAGGATTAATTTTCTTCATTAACCTCAGCCCTTGCAATACATGAAAGGAATTTTCTTCCAGCCAAGCAGGCCTGGATCTCAGACAGTCCCAAACTTCAGACAGGAAGATACTCCCTCAAGGGTCTGATCTGCCTTCCCAACTTTCTCAGCTTGCTGGGGAAGAAATCAAAAGGCTGGTCTGTATGGCAGCACAACCCATCACCACTGGACACAAAAGCATATGGGAGTATCTCTGTTTAAGAGGAGAGAATTGTTGATTTTACCCTCCCAAAATTCCGATCCTTAAAGTTAACACTATGTCACTTTTACTGCAGATTGTACAGGCGATTATAAAGTCATACAGGTTCTAGATAAGACCAGGCTTTTAAAACAGTCTACTGTCTCCCATGTCTACCATGGGGTTTTTTCCATTGTACACTTTGCTCATAACCTGTCATAATATCATTACTCATTGCCAAATTACTATAGCTGATAAAGCCAAAAGAGGCAGTCAAGTGGTCAAGGCTTCAAAAGTCACTACTGATTTCAGAGAGCTATTTGAAAGAGCTTGATGCTCTGTTAAAAGCTGGACTCTTGAGGTCTGAGTTGCAGCATCTTAAAACAGTATGCCAAACTACAGGTCATTCCTGAAAAAGAATATAGGTAGTAAAAACCTACAATACTGAATTAACATTAGAAAAAAAAAAGAAGATGTGATTGGAGTTGAAGATTTAAGAGTTCATGAAAAGCACTCACCTTTCCAAAACATTACATACCTGTCTGTATTTTTATAACAGCACTCTGCACTGCATTCCTCAGTGTCTCCTCACCAGCACATCAAACTAGATCAGTGATTTAGAAACTTTCCAAAGTGCCAATGGATCAGAAAAGTCAATCTAAATGCTCTGCCTTTTGCTGCTGCTTATAACATGAGCTTTGCAAGGCTGAAAAAGCAAGAGCTCTCCAGCTGTAACAGGAAGACACTGAAATCACGGGGGTTCAACCTTTTGCTTTTGTTTTGTGAACACTGCTAGACCCTTTCTAGACCCTTCATAAGCTGTCAAAACCAAAAAAAAACCACCGACAAAAACCCCAGCAACAACAAAAACAACTTTCCCTTTTCCCAACTACTGATCGTGGAAAAAAATCAAATCAAATCACTTCATAGATTCAGACCTGAATGCTGAGGTATGCTAGGACGTTACTAGGGAAACATTTGGTAATACAAAAATACTTTATATGGTTAACTGCACCAGAGATCCCATTATTTTTTAGACAATGATAATGATTGCTGGGCAGTAGGATACTGCTCTTCAAATGCCCAGAGGACAGCTAAGATTGAAACAATAATGGTCCAGCTGTACAAATGCAGTGTGCCCTACTACATCTAGGGCAAGGCCGAAATCAGCAGACTTTGTTTTGAAAAACAAAAGAATAGGCTAAAGAAGTCTCCCTGAAAAATTGTACTGAAATACTGAAAAAAAAAAAACCTAATCACAAAAATTAAAGGTGAGAAAGAAAAAGCACTACATAGACAAGTAACAATATCTGACAGACTAATGGAGAAAAAAGAGCAGCATAACACATCAAGGAGGAAAGCTTGATCATAAATGGAAAAAACACATTTAAGGCAGAGAAAAAGATCATGATTACAATATTTAATATTCAGAGTTCTTGGAAGGCCATTACCATCTTACCCTCTCTGTTGTCTTTGATGATTTCTGTGATGCCTCATAATCTTTCTTTGTTTCTAGGATTCTTTTTACAAGCCCACCTGTTGAAAAATCAGTATATTTCTCAGCATTGGTTGGCAATAAAATGTTTATTTTAAACATTCAGACAATAAAATCAAAACCAATTGCTTAATTTTTTTTTTAACAAACAGTTTTTAGAGCAACATGAACAGCATTCTATTATGTATTTTAATTACTGAGATACAAGGTATTTGTTATTTGATCTATTTTCTCCAGTGTCCACTAAATCAAACTGTATCATCCGTATCATTTACTGAACAACTCTTGGTACAGAACCAGATCCTTGAGCTGTATTAACACAAAGGCTTTTCCTCTGCACCCCTGTTTTGGAAGAATTCAAGAACTGCACATGATAGGTATGTAGATAGATATATATTTTCCTTTGCTAGGAATTTTTGGATATATACCTGCCTAAATCACATCCAGTGTAACAATAATGGAAGCCCCTGAATCAGAGATCTGAGGTCACGAGTAAGCATAAATGTTGTTAAGAACTGGTCCATCAATTTCCCTAAAAGCTTTTCTATAACTTGCCTTGGACAGCCAATACCATCTCATATCTCAGAGCTGACAAGCTGTACCCGACACTCAAAGAAACATTAATTTATGACTTTTATGCAGAATTTTAAATCCTGCTGACATCAAAGATGTATAGAAAATCTGTACTTAACATCAGTTGCAAATCCAGCTGCTCAACTAAACAAGGCTGTATTTGATAAATAATTTCTGTTTTTCTTGCAAAAGTTGCAAGCTCCTACCCTCAGGAGGTATTTTGCTGTTTTATTCAGCATTTTAAGTGTTCAGCATTTGGTTTAAACCTGTGGTTTTATTCTATATATACATAAATATATGTAAAAGCAAACATACCATGGTTTTCATCCTCAACCAGCTCCACTTCTGGCTCCTACACATGCAGGAAGAGAGCTTTAGTTGCAATAAGTTGACATTGCTATAATATACAACTACTCAAAAATATTCAACTAGAAGCTACGTAAACAAGTAAGTTACAAACAAGTATGGAAAAAGGTTCTGTAATTTGCAACATGAACAGACCATTTCCATCTCTGGCATTTCTGGCAGTGGCAGTGATGCCTCCACCACGAACTGGTCATCATCATCATCAGGAATCTGCTGGTCTATGATCACATTTGAGACTGTTTTACCACTACCACTCCTGAAAGAGACACAATGAAAATTAAAACCTATTAAGATTATGTCCAAACCTATTAAGATCTATCCAGAATAGAAGAGACAGCAGTTCCCTCCCTCCCTCCCATAAAATCAAGCAGCACCAACTAAAAGTACATCCAGTTCTGTCATTTCCATTCACTGCCCAACTCTGAAAACAGTTAGCCATTCTTCTCTCACAAAAGGACATATATTTTCCTTCTAAACACACTACTTCAGTGAATGGCACTTATCAGAGATCAAGCAAGCCATTTTGTCCGTAGTTTCAAATGGCTGTTTCAGTCTTTTTTTGAAGATGGGATATTCACTGCATGTTCTATAGATCTCTTCTAGTGGTAGTTTAGATTAATGTTCTAGGGTTATCTGTTTCAGAGTTCCCAAAGGCAAAAAAATTAAATCATATTTTTGGACTTCCAGAGGTGACTACCAACCATAACTTTTACGTAATGCACTGGATTTGCAGAAACAGTAAAACAAATAAAGCAGGCTTGAATTTTCCAGTCTGAATCAATGAGCAGTGGGATGATCCATCCTAAAGCTGTTGAGCAGCAGGTGAGGCACAGAAGATCTGAGAATACTGTGGCACAAGAGCTAGAAACATCTGCTCTGCATCTCCCATGTTCCTTACCTTTCCGGAAGTAAGACCTCTGTGCTTTCTTGACGTTTTACTCGGGGCGGTGCTGGTCTTGCACTGCTAGGACGAGGAATGCGTCTGCAGTAACAAAGAGGCTTTTTCATTTATACTATAAAAGGAAGCCTCACACGTCCTCTAAAGGAGCAGACATACGCACACGTGAGCTGAGTAAATTAGCCAATGTATAACAACACTGAAAACATCCCCAGTGTACAATCCAATATCACAATACTTGCCATCCTTGTAGGAGTCTAGGAAAAACTAGAAAATATGTCCTAAAACAAAAAAACTATGATTCTGTGTAAAACCACCTCTTGATTTGTCTCACTAAAAAATAACTTGTATACAACACAGTTATTTACTATTAACAACAAATTTAGCATTAACAATACACACTGCAATGTAAATGAAAAAAAAAATTATTTCCACAAGTGATGCAATTACACAAGCATTTACTGGGCAAAGAAAAAGTAAATTGGGACTTAAAAGGCAAGTTCATCTTAGCCATAACACCATGCTTATGAAAGTTGTAATGCAATGTTCTCATTAGACTCTCGACACATCCCTCATATTTCAATAACATTACATCAAAGCACTTTATGGATTAAGAAAATAAGTCCAAAACACTTCACTATGTTAAACTTTTCTTTATAGAAGGACATGAAAGTGAATAAAGGGAACCATACATTGGATAACATTTATTATTCGGTACCGCTAGCAAAAACATACTGCTCCACGTTTCCTTGTTGTTTTCAAATGGACTGTATTACCTCCAGATGCATCATAGTTTGATTCAAACAGAATAAAGGATAGAAACAAACCTTTGGATGGGCTGAGGTGGAAGATCATTAGGTACTTCTCCATTTTCAGATACTGCAGGCTTTTCAGGAGCCATGTTCTCTGCTTCTCCTTCTATTAAATGAATCAAACATACAATTTTGGCTTAGCTGGCAATGCAAATCTAACTTTTCTTACGACAGTACTTTGAATCTTATCAGCACTATACTTGAATGTGTACTCATGAAATACATCACAAGACAAACTTTTTAAATAGAAATAAAATTCTATAAGCTTATATAAAAGTTAAATATCTTGTGAACTTCCAGTTTTTAAACATCTCGGAGCATTCACAATTCAAAAGGGACACTGAAAAAACATTTAAATTTGCTTCATTTTTTGTTTCTTAATATTGTGAAATTCCCTCATGTGTGAAAATGACATCATCTCACTCAATTCTTCCACAGTTGCATGGTAACATTTGCAATATTTCAAGTTGCTCATTATACAAAATCGTAAGAGGAAAAACTGTATTAAAAGAACCCTATATTCTCTATGCTGAGGTTTTTTTAAACCTTTCTTTTATTCACCTTAACTTCTTATTCTCCTGTACTGGTATTCTTAGTTGACCCAGATTTGAACAGGTGGTTGGACTGGCTGACCTCCATTTCTTTGTCCCTTTCAACGTCAAGCATTCTATGATTTGAGGATGAGGGCTTCTTCTGTAATCCCACCATAGTTATGCTCTCCATAGGGTTGACCCCATTTACAATTTAAATCAGATAGAACCAGTTAAACCACTCCTTCCCAGTTGATAGGTTTCCCACCAAGTTACTGTGACCAGTCCAGTGCAGTTAACAGCATGAACCCACACCTGCAAAGCTCAGATTAGACCATTCTCTATAATGGCAGAGAACAAGATGACGTCTTTGCCTTGACAATCTAACTGCGCAGGATTATGGATATCATTCGCCACTTTCTGCTTTAGCGTTTCTACAAATAATTTTGGTAGGTAAAAAGCATTTGATGTTCTTGGATTCCATGTAGAAAGCTTGCTCAGATTAATGATCTGTCAGTGAGTATTTCTTCCATGTAACACCACATGCAGAAAGGACTCCTCTAACACTACTGTCCACTGCAGTGTCCCTCTGCTCTGAAATCACCAAGAACGGCACCACTGAAGAAAAAGACCAAGGCAGCTGGGCTTTTACCAGCCCAAATTTAGGCAAAGAAATAAAAGTATCTTTCCCAGAGTCTACTGAATTCCACTTTCCTAATGGGTTTGTGCGTATTCTCCGGACAGCCATTTCACAGGTTAGACCTTCTCATTTAAAACTACTGAACAGTACAGGTACTACATTTTTATACAGTGTATTAATTCTACATACGGTCCACTGGAGAACATATGGAAGATATGTAAATACACTCAACAATCATAAGCTCTATATTAAGTTTTCCCTCAGTCTTACTGGTACAGGAACAACCATTGTGCATCAACCAATCGTATGGTCACTGGCACACCAGCTGGAGTGGTCCCTATGTTAAGACTGAGCCAGGCCCAAGTCAGAAAGTTGTGCTTTGTTGCTGGCTGTACCATGAGCTTCCTGCACTTCCCCGGGTACCTAATTTAGCATCCCTGCCTAACAGATGCAATAGGGATTTCAAAATTCCCCTCCCACACAGCAAAAGGCATTTTCCCACATGATGGAGATCACAAAGGTATGGAGAGATAAAAACCAGAGGTCTCTTCCTTAATAAAATATTTGATTTTGCATAAAGGATCTGCTTGGAGCCTGCACATGCAATCATAGGAGCTGAGACAGCCCACTGGTGACTGTGAGTACCCTGAGTAAGTCAGACTGAATGAAGAACTCTTTGGCAGTCCTTATGCAGACAGGCTTGGGGAGAGGCGTGAGCATGTCCAGGATTTTTAATTTTTTTGTGTGTTACATTCAGTCTGTTAATAGTACAGCTTCACTTTTCATACTGGAAAGCCATCACTGACCTTTGGCACAACAGATTTCTGCAGGTTTGTGGGAAACAAGTACAGTCCTCCCTTGCCTCTATATAAACTCAGCTCCCAGGAAACACCACCTGCAAGAACCACTATTTTTGTTTTCAAAGAAACAGCTACCATTAAGCAAGGAGGGCAGTCTGCTAAAGGAATTAGCTTTTGGAGCAGTTATCGGCCATAGTCAAGGTCTCAACTGATTTCTTGCTCTTGCTACGTCCTGACATGCATCACGCTGACGTAACAGCTGCTCACAAGATAGAAAGTCAACAGTTGCAAGGAGTCCTGCAAGCGTTCATTTACTCTGTGTGAAAAATGAGCATCTCTAAAATCTCACTTCCCCACAGCACCAGTGGAGACAGAGCAGTGACGGCACCACAGAACAGCGCCTGTGACACCTGCACAGAGGAAACTAAGGGATGCTTCAGGGATCTCCTATATACCGATTTCCAGATTCACTGTCTATTACTGGCCCAGTTATCCAGTTATTTGAGGAAAGGTTTTGTGGATCACTTTCACTTTTAATATGAACAGAAGCCACAAACGCAACAAGTAATAGGAGAAAGGAAACCAAGTCATGTACTGACATTAAGACAATGGAAGAAGTATGTTTTATTAATCTGTTTGTTGCAATAACTACCTGTAATATATTGCAAAAAGTTCCCCACAAGTTCTGCTTATTTTCAAGTTAGAACGCATAAAGTGCTCATAAACTATTACTTCTTTTTTTTCTTCTTCTTTTTTTTTTTTTTTTTTTTTTTTTTTAAACACTTAACCCAAAGCACAAAGCACTTTCATAGATGGCTTTTTGGTATTCTTTTAAGTAGAAACTACTTGGATAAACACAACTAAATTATGTTTTGTTACTGTTTAAAAAATCTTTAATACATAGCATAAAACAAAAAGAAGTACTAAATTAGAGAAGTGCTTTATTCATTAAAAACACTGTTTTTTCTATTAGAAGTTTTTAACTATCATTGGTATGTTCGGTGCTGGTCTTTTGTCACTATAATGTTCCTGAGTCGCTGGCAAATTCACCTGGAAATAACAAATACACTGATTTTTCAGATTAGTATTAAAGAATTTATGTAACTTATCTGACCAAATTAGGCATGAAACACACAACAAGAACTGCAGCCAGCTTCCTACATAGGAACTACTACCAGGGCTGGGAGAATAGGGACAAACACATTAGGAAGTGTTTCCAACAAGCTCACACTTCTCTGCTAAAGACATCAATATTCTGTCATTAAGCAGAACACACTCATCAGAAATGAGACATTTTTTAAAAGTCAGAAGACATTGGAGGATCAAAATGTTTGTCTTGATAGAATATCTGAGTAGACACTCCTGAAAGTTAAATGAGATGTGCAAAAGGGGAATTGTATAAATCTGTACAACAGATTTGAGAGCCAAAGCTGTGCCAATCTACTTTGAACTGTGAAAGCATGGGGACTGCTCACCCCTCAAAGTAAGTTTACACAGTCCAGAAATACAAAAATTAAAAGTCCAAAGGAAATTCAGAAGCAGTTCACAGAATGTAATACTTTTTTCAAAGTAGTCCCAAGCACCCTCTAAACCCTTGAAAACCTTGTGGAAGAACTATCTTCAGCTCGTCTCTGACTAACCTACTCCAAAGGTAGGTTTGGAGTTGCAGAAGGGCAGCGACTGTGATTTTCAAGCAGTTTCAACACCCAGTTTCCATTTAATTCCACTAGTGTTAGCTGGAGTATAAATCTTAATATGCAATTAGCCAACCAAATGGTATCATGGACCAACTACATAAGCAAACAAGACAGTGCCTAAGCATCCTGCAAGGACTGTGATTTCTAGGATGCTTCAGAGAGCACTGGCAAACTAAGCAGAGTTTCCTAAACCTTCCCACTAGTGTAAACTGGCACTGCCATCAAATAAGCCTTTCTGCCTTCACACTTGCCGTTCCCTCCTGTTAGCACATGCATTCACACACTGCCTGAAGAACTGGATCAGTGTGACTTGGTTTAAGACACTGCCCTCCCAGCCCCTCTGCCAAGCTGGTAGAAAAGACGTTCATATTTTACGTATAATGCCAGCTCTCTGCGGGATGGGTGGTAGGTGGCTGTGATGGCTCAGCTGAATGAGTGACAACATCTTGAGGTTACTTGGAGATAAACTTTTGAAAGGAGCCTGGCATTACTCCTTGCAGAGAAGTGTACCCCAGTGTAATTACCAAAACTGTGAGAGAGAAACTGCACCAGTGAAACCCCCGCAAAAAGCTTATTTTAGAATTTAACAAGGTTCAGAAAAATCTTATCATCAGCTTCTGAAAAAGCCTCATACAGGCCTACACTTTATGGAGTGACCATGAAGTGCAACTGTTCCTCCCTTCTTGCCACAGTGGGTGCATTTATGTGCACATGTCTAAAGAAAGTAGAACCTAAGTAACTTCAGGGGTGTATGAGCAAATACCTGAGGCAGGCCAAAACACCCTTTTGCCAGAAAGTTTTAAACATATACTTCTTATTTAAAAGGCTGCCATGAACTAGCCAGTGAGGATTTCTAATGGAGGACACCAAGGGAGAATAACTGATATGCTGACAAATCCTCATTTATAAAGGAAAACAAAAAAAACAAATAAACCAAAAAAAAACCATCACACAAGAGAAAGGTTCAGAGCCTCAATGCTCAGAAACAGAATATAACACTGAAGCAGAATGCAGAAGTAAAACTCCAAAAGATCCAGGAAAATAAGTTTATTTCAGCCAGTAAATAATGTTTTTAAAATCCTATAAATGAGTCTTCCTTTGGAAACTTTTGTAACTTTCATTTGCAGTTAAAGACACAAGAACACAGCAAGAAAGAACAGGTCATCACGGACTTATGATTACTGCCAAATATGCATCCAACTTAGCTATCTGCAATGACTGTTCTTATCGACTGTTATAGTTGATTTTACATTCCAACTATGAAAACAGTTACATGTATGAATGACAATTTCATCTCTATAAGAACATGCGGAAAATTAAGGTTCAGTAATGCACTAATACATTACATTATCTTATTGGATAAAGCTGAAAATAAAGAACAGTCAACACAATAGTTGGTTCTTATACCACCTGAGAATCGAATCCAAATCAATAATGAACCTGGGGGTGGTACTCTTACATACAGTCAAATTAGAAATAGAGGAATATAAAGTTATATTCCATAACAGATACATTCCAATAGACAAGACAGCTCCAACAGATTAAAAGGAATTAGTGTGGAAGCTCTCCCAGTTGTGTAAGGTCACACAAATGTCTTGGCCAACCATCTACATTTCATTAGACTGACACAGCTATGAGACCCTGAAGGCCACAGGTGGACTGGGAAACAGCCTTTGATCTCCCACATACATGGTATCAACTCTCCCAACTAGGTCAAGCATCTGGATCTGGAGAAAACAAAAATGCAGCTTTTTGCTTAAAACTCAGTTCTTTCTCCTACATTTTGCTTCTATGGCTCCATGTATACTGTAGCTGGATACAAATACCTCATTAACAACATATGTCTTGGGAGCTATATACCACTTGGAAAAAAAATGGAGAACAAAGAATGCAGAGATGCAATTTTCCTCTAAAATCTTGTAAAATGCAAACACAAAGTGAGACTCCCAAATACTTGTACAAAAAGGCAACATGCAATGATTCAGTTCTTACACAAAACAAGTCACCAAGGGATTCAGGTGCAGCAGCCCTGCATTTTCCTTGGGACACTGTAGGCACTGGCCTCTTTGAAAACTTGCATAAGAGTAAGGAAGGACAGAATATAAAAGTAACTGTTTTATCGGGGAACATACATTTTTCAAACCAGGACATTAATCACAAGATGTGATTAAAACACAATGCAGCAGTTGGATTAAATGTAAATCACCCTCCTTAAATCATTTAGCTGCATGGATTCAAGTTCGACCCCGAAGCACTCAAGTTAGACTTTCCAAGGCAGTCAAGTTTTTATTCTCTCTACCTTTCTGTTTTACTGCAAGTCCTGGTTCAGCTTGCTCTTGCACTTTAGCAACATTGTCCTCTGAAATCCTATCTGCCATGCTCTTCATTTCCACAGTTCCTATAACAAAACAGTTTATAGTCAAATGAAACCAAAGATACAATAAGAATTTAAAATAAAAAAACATGCTAAATACCTGTTACACTTACTATTTCTTTAACTATCCTAGTTTAATAATCTTGAGTGTAAATAAGTAACATTCAAAGTTCACAAAGACTTTTTACATGACCTCTGATTAAACTTCTTATGTTACTGCAAACTAAGGGCAACTTCTTCAATTCAGAAACAATTTACAGATATTATTTGTTAGCCTGATAGCTAGTGAAACAACACAATATTTTTCTAATAAAGTCTAAGTAATTGCTAAAATACACAATATTGTTTGTATACTACTTGGAATGCATAATGCACTTTGGTTTGTTTCAAAGGCTTTAGCTTTAAACACATTTCATACTAAAGCCATTAAGAAATTTTAAGCAAGAAAAGCTGATTTCTGATAGCTGAACTCCACGACTGGCTGGTAATGCCATAGAAGAGCCAAGTCCACAAATGCTGTTCGCTTTTGATGCTACCTAAACCAGTTTTATTTTTGCAAAAAAATCAAAGACCATTTAATCTACCAATTATCTTAAATTAATTCCCCCAGTTACAATATGACAATGTTGACAAAAGCAAATTAACACACAGTGGAAGAAAGCTGAAATATTCAGGTATACATCTGATTTCTAAATTATCTGCTAAGGGAGAAGAGACATTCAGGCCGGAGGAACGCAAAGGAGAAATGATTCAGCACCATTTGTACATCATCCCAGAAAATATACTTGTGCATTGAACACACGTGGTCAAGAAAAGTTGAACTATTCATACAATTTGTCAAGATATGTACAGAATGGGTAGATTATTTAGTTTTAGTCTTACCATTAAAAATATATATACATACACACACCCCACCCCTCCTTCACTTGGAGTAATATGTTCAGTTCTCACATTCCTCAAAATGCAGCAGAAGCAGAATGAATTCAGAACTAGGCAAGATTACAGATACAGAAAGAGCACGCATGTTTAAAACAGAGGTACCCAAAGCACTGCCCAGGAACTGAACCCAGCCCTTCCAAATATCCTTATCTGCAAAAAGGTAACTGTAATGCAAAGGTAAAAAGCAGGTTCACAGGGCCCCTATCTACAGCCAGGACACCTCAGGTAACATTTCTACCACCAGCACAAATGAGCAAACAGTTTTGATAGCATGGGAAAAGATTTACTAGATAAAGACAAGCCCTGCCTAATGCTTGGGTTGAAACATCCAACACTTCCAAAACCAGCAATGAAACTACTGCATGCAGCATAAAGCTGAATCTTTCAGGACATAGAGATCAAAAGCGGAGGACCTACTCCTCCACCCCTGCCACAGGAAGCATACACAAAGATACACAGTCCATTGCAGTAGAAATACTGAGTTCTACTAGTTTACAAGGAGATTAACATGCAGTAGAGAAAGGTCAACCAGCACTTTCATTTACCTGTGCTGGCTAAGGCCAGGATGAGTTGTAATTTAATAAAACTGAAACAAGCATTGAAACATTCATTACCAACCTATAGAGCAGTGCTACAAGTTTCCCATAAGGTCTGGAGCTTAGCAGAAAAGCCAAAACAACAGTGGAAAGTTAAGCACTTTACTCCATTGTTTTCATTTAGAAACTAATTCAGTGTCTGAAAGGAAACCTGTTCAGATCTCAATTAAGATCAACTGCAAGTTTAAAAACTATAAAAGCAGTCATTGACTGAGTAGTAATAAATGTAACATTATATAAAAAACATTTGCTCCAATACCATTAGGAATTTGTTTGTAACAGAGGTGAGCAAATATTGGTATAACGTGTTTTAATTATTAGGATAGCAAATATACCCGGTTTTGCTTAACTAGTCCTCCATTCACCACTTCAGTTTTATTTATTACAAATTTAGTCATGACACTAGCCCTTGCGTGTTCTCCTGTTGTGCATTTATTTGTATCCAGTTAATAATAGAAAATAAAGAAAGCTCTGACCATCATCACCAGTAACTACAGAGACCAGTGTGCAACAGGCATCAGCGTAGCTCCATAAGGTTCTTGCTACCCTCTGGATGACTTAGTGGAGCCTCTGGGCCTTACTCACCTGTTGTAGCTCTGCTGTGTTAGAACAAAAAGAGGCCTAATGCCCTAAAGTATTTATCACTTAGGTAAACTGAAATTTGAGTGCACTGGCCTGCTGTATCATGAAAAGAGGAGCATTTAAAAATATTTACCTTAAAGCGAAAACACAGGATAAGTTGGTAACCATACTTCATTTATCAGAAAAACTGGATCCTGATTTTAAAGAAGGGATGATCCTATAAAATGGGGCATGTCTGGTCACTGTAGTTTAGTGCCAGTTCAGGCTATAAAACAAACATTTAAATCTTGGGAAATAAAAAAGTTATAGGATCAGCTAAGGATCACTAAGTAGTAAAATAAGACTACACTTAATGGAATCCAGATGGTATTTTTCATCTACAAAATTATTAAAACCTCACATCACATAAGTACATGAGATGTGACATAAAATTTTCAATTTTTGAGCACCAACTTGAATTAAGCTCCTAAGTCAACAGACGTTCATATCCAAAGTGCCAGATCTCTCTCAAAGTATTTAAGGTACCTAAACATAATTTTAATTTTTTCCCCAAGTCCTTTTGAAAACATGGCTATTGGTTGATAACACTAGCCAAGCTCTAATATAACTTCAGTATTTTGCCTCAGACACATGGAAACCTACTAAAACACAAACCCAAAGAAAAAGTGGATGCTTGCAAAAACACAGCAACATACAATCTCTTTACATAGATTAAAAATAGTGACACTGGCAGATTAAGTGCATGAAGATCTTCATGCTTCATTAGTCTGAACAGTATGTCTTTAGCCAGAGTTAGCTATTTAACAGTTAGCAATTCACAGGTGTTATTATATCTTCTGAACTGAGATGTTAAAACTGATTTATGTACAGTGACTTCCTCATTAGAAATAAAATATCAGCTCCTGGGGCACAAAACCATTGAAAGAAAACTTGAATCAGAGTAAATAATCAGGTCACCAAAATAGGAGTAGGAGGGAAAAGGTCACTTAAATACAGACAGAAATTGCATTTACACTGTCATTAGATGAGCTCCAATTAGCAGCTGGTTTTATTCCTTACCTACAGGTTTCTCTAGGCTCTTCCTCTTGGCTTTCTTACACTAAGGGCTAGCAGTACTAAGTTTAGATTCTTTTCTTCCTGATGTGAAAGTATTAAATACTTGGGATATTCTGAAGAGAATCTAGTTTTCATTTAGTGTGCAAATACAATATTCAATACACTTACATACAAAAGCTGGTGACGTAAACAATTGCAATGAAGCACCTTAACAGATAAAATAAAATTACTTACTTATTTGTAAAGCTTGGCACAACTGTCTATTATACTTAGTTAAAACTATCTCAGGACTAAAATCTTCACTTAAATCTGTTCTAAAGAGACAAAGAGAAATGACTAATGCAGGTGTAAGGCAGAGGAGGAGGGATGTTTATTGACAACTGTACAATTTGTTAAATAGCTTCGGTCAACAAAGAATCAGAAGAGGTTATCATCCAAAGGCTGGTAAAATGGCCTGAAATCAATACAATTCCAGTTTATATCAATCCAGTTCCTAATGGGCAAGCACAGATACCACAGATCTATTATCACAAGTGACAGTCTTGACACACTTAGCACCGAAGCAAGGACGAGATGATTACACAGCTACCTCCTCACCTGCTGTCTAGACTCACATGGCCAGGATTCACTCCAGAGACCTGGCACTGCTCACCCATCAGGGGCGGTGGCCACACCGCTACCGGGGGCAACTCCTGGCCAGCACAAAGAGATGGGCCTTTTACAGATTCTCATTTCCTGCTGCTAATCCCTCAGTAACAAATAAACATCTGGCCTTCCTTCCCCAGCACTCTCAGCAGAAATGTCACAGGCCTTGGTCCCTTACACATGGTTGAGCTACTGTGGAAGATCATAGAATCATAGAATGCTTTGGGTTGGAAGGGACCTTTAGAGATCATCTAGCCCAACCCCCCTGCAGTGAGCAGGGACAGCTTCAACTAGATCAGGTTGCTCCGGAGGATGACGTGGGAGAGGATTCAGTATTGATGCTACCCAGACCACTTTCCCTGTTCCAACTCACATCACAAGGTCCTAGCCTGACACCAGCCCAGGTGCAATACAGTTGACCACAGCTGTAATGACAGACATTAGAGAGTCAAAGATGGACAAACACGTGCCATTGTTTCAATACTGAGAGGAATCTTCTCTAGTCATTGAATGCCAGAGGTTTTGTTTAACATTTCATCTTCACCTGTTCTCCAGCTTATGCCTGGAGTATTGTGTCTCAAGCTATGGAAGCCACTCAGAAAGGTTTGGCTAGTCTTGAATTCACCAACCGTCTTTTCATTGAAGAAACCCCACAAAGGTTAACACAAATGTGGATGGTTTAATGTACTGCTTTTCAAACAAATACCCAGGGAAATTCCTTTTTGCACTGGCCAGTACTCAGTTAATCTCAGGGAACACTCCTCTTTTTTTGTTTGTTTGGTTGTTTTTTGTTTTGTTTATTGTGTTTTTTTGACAAACAAGATCTTTTCATTTATAAACCCAAAATTGCTAAAGACCAAACACTAGGACTTCAGATCCTTGAGAAGTGATTGAAAAATTCAGAAAATAAATGAAGTTTGGATTCCCTAGCCAAATTTAGGAAGAGCGCTCTTCCCAAATATTAGTAAGTGATAAAGTTACAAATTCGGCATTCATAGCTGTATGATTTATCCCTACAGGAAAGCACATCTTGCCTCACAAATGTCTTTCATCTTCCTAAAACAACCTTAGAAAACATATCTTAAGTCTTACTAAATCAAAAATACTGTGCTGAATATTGCTCTGCTGTAAACATTTAACAAACCTTTACGTGTGACTTTACGTAAAGGTAACATGCAATAATTTTATCAACTCAGACATACTGTCCACTAATCCTCAGTGATAAGGAAAAAGAAAAAAAAAGCCAAAGTTTTGCAAGGCATATTTGTCTAAACTTGCTAGATTATCAAGCAAAGAAACATTTCTTGTGAAACTAATAGAAAAATAAATAGTTGTAGACCAACTAAAAAGCGCATGCAGAGAGAACACAATAAATATCAAGAGCAGGCTGAATTTATACCTGCAATTGTGCATGAGGAACATGAGCAAACTGAACTGAGTATCATTTTCTATGTATCAAATCCATGCAGAAAAATTGCCTGTTGGATTCATAAATGCAGACTGGGAGTATAAAACAAGCACTGAAAATAATAAACACAGATATTTAAGTATTTATGCTATTCCTATGCAGTAGCCCTCCAGCATATTTAATAGAAATAATATCCTCCCTCTAGTTACCTTCTCCTCCGGGTCTGGCGCGTTGCCTTGATCCTTTTGTTGAAGGCTGCCTTGATATTCCTGCAGGACTTTCACTCTTTAAAAAAAAAAAAAAGCCCACAAATGTATATAATTGTATAGAAAAAAATATATTTATAAACAAAACTTACATGTGTTGCTTTTTTATCTATACGTATTATACATAAAAAATATCCATTTACAAACTGACCCACACATATAAGATTAAGAATATGTCAAGTCTATTTTCCTCAAAGTCTGCAGGTATTTTTTCCTGGATGCATGCTAGCTATTTTCTTTTAAATGAACCTATATGATTCGCACTAATTATTGTAAAGATGACTTCCAAATGTGAACTAAAAGTATCCAAAGCAGAGCAATCTTGTGAAACCTATACAGCATCTATGATGCCACTGCTGGTCTTGAGACACAATGCTTAGCTACCAGCGAGCTACCGAAAGGATTATGATGCTTACAATCACTTATATGTTTCAGCTACATCAGATACACAGTTCCTCTTTAACCTTCTGGGATGTCTTCTAAATTTCAATTAAAATTCCAAAATAGAAGCAAAGACTAAAAAACTGTGCCACTAGACTTGTGCAGTCCTTTCCTCAAATGGCAACTTTCCTGGACAAAGACTCTGGACAAACTAAGAAATGGGTCCTGCCAGAAAGTCCAGCAAACGAGCAATGGATGATCTGAAGGTGCAACTGGTACAGGAAGGAGGATTAGAGTTCAAAAGTGGAAAAGATCAAACTGGAGGAAAATTCAGGACACTTCTGAGGACTCTGACCTTAGTCTGAAAGTGATTCAGAGAGGCCAGGAAATGAAAGCAGGCAAGCACACACAAGAATTATTTTGTTTTCTCTGGATATAGCTTACACTGCCTGAAGTCAAGAACACCTGACTGACAATACTTTCTGCAAAGACACTATGTTGCAGGGGGGCAGGTCTGTGAGAGCTGCCATTACTATAGGCAGGGTATACTACAGATTTACTACTACCTGAAGCACAGCCAGGGCCCAAATGCCTCCAGAGAAGGTGCAAAGTGTAAAGAAGGACTCCTGCCAGCCCAACAAAACTCCTGGGCATGGGATCAGGGTGGGAAGGAGGCAGTTCACCCTTTTACACCAATGTTGGCTAGCAGAAGGGGCAGACTTTTGCTTACATGTAGACTGGAAGATGGAGCCAGTAATGGGATCTGGCCTACTATGCATGCATGGATGGCTTCCTGCTTCTTATGGGACTGTACATACTAAGAAACGAGTAGCTTCCAACAAAGCCATTCATGCTTCTAATAACTTTCCTGTCCTTTTACCTAATTCCCTGATTTCATTAACAACATTTGTTGCTAAATGCCTTAACATTTGTTGCTAAAGAGGAAGCAACAAACTGAACACAAACAGATGAAGTACAGGTGATTTATAGAATACCATTTTATGTTTCTATGCTTTCTATCCTTATAGTATCTCACTGCATCTTGTTCAAAATCCTGAAATATGTTTAGCACCTCACAGGATTTCCTCCTTATCTGCTTTTTTGTAGTCTGTGTGAATTAACAGTCCATGCAGTTTGCATCCAAGATTTATTGCCAGCCGTGCTGATAATGTCCATATTGATAACATAAATGAGAATTACAGATTCTTCCATTTCTATGCAAATGTTAACATTGTATGTTCCAATAACGTGTAAGAGAAAATTGTCAAATTACACAACGTAAAACATTCATTTTCCATAATATCTTGCATATAGGATAATGGACCATACCTGTCGTAATGGAAAATAACACTACAAGATGTTTAAAAATACAGGATATTGGTAAGTATTTTTACTCAAACTACTTCAGGTGACCATGCAAGAGAAATGTCCCACCTCTACAAGCTTACAACAATGTATCCACTGGCTGTGGAGACACAGCTACATGAAGGAGGGGAATGAAGCCGACATGTCAGGAACATGCTGATTAAGTTTGCTTTGAAGGCAAATCTTGCGGTTTTTATATGCTATAATGCACAACGAGCTCAACAGAAGTTCTTGACAAACAAAGGGGAAATGCTTATTAACAACAGATTATCACAGTATCCAACTGTGATAAACTGAGAAGTTGAACTGTTTGGAGGTGCTTTATGGGAAAGCGAGCAGTCTATGCAAGCGTCAGCTTCAACAGTTAGTTTAGGTCCTTTAGAAACTACACCTCCTTCACCTCCATGATTGTAATATAACACATATGCTCAGAATTTCAGATATTTAGCCAAAAGAAAGCCCTACATCCTACGCTTTGCAAAAATCTAGCCAAATGGACAGTACATGGTCCTTCTTTGCCATAACCTAGTTTTCACTTGCACCATGTTCACTGGATTATTACAATTATTATTTGACCCACAACCAGAGCTACCAATACTTTTGTTTCACTCTTTAGAAAATGCTGGCATATTATAAAGAAAAATAGACAGAAGTCCAAAATGCATAGCTAGTACTGAAGTGGTTAGTCTTAATCTTAGTTCATCTTAATTACTACCATCTTTCACAATCACAGCCTATGCAAGGAGCAAAAGTAATGCTTACATACCATCAGAGTCTGGCTCTATGGGCCCGCAAGCCACATCTGGTACACTCAAACTTCAGCAGCTCTTGGGGTGATGTAATTATTAGCACAGGTGGGGAGGGAGTTGAGAATAGGTGCTGAGGCTTCTGGAGGAGTGGATGCAGTCATTTATTTATGTCAGGTAGTGACTACAAACGCCACTTAACATTTTTGTAGAGCCACATGTGCACACTGGCAACAGGTGCAAAGTAAAAGCTAAAATTTAATCACTATGGTAGCACACAAAAACACAAATCCCACAATATTTATGATTTTAGTCTTTCCAAAGGGAGATAAAATAGGTCATTCTTCTCACAAATTCATAGGCTCCAAGACTTTGAGAAGCAGTGACTGGAGACATTAAAAAGAAATCTTACACTTCATTTCAAGAAAAAATATATTTAAGTGGAATCCTAGATGGACATATGCACACTTCCCAGTTTTGAGTAATTACATTTCTATTTGGAAAGGATACAGCAGCCTGCTGTAAACCATCCAGTCTGCTGCTTTGTACTCATTATTGACCTTTAAATAGGTTGCCTTACTTTAAGACATAAGACGACAATGATTTCCAATGTTTCAGCAGGTCAAGAAGAGGAACATGCTTTGAAAAGACATCTTGCCAAACTGCTAATTCCTCCCCCTTTCCATGCAACAACCTCTATATTCATGAAAGGATGTCATCAACAGTTTCTATCAGCGACTTTTATACTGCTCTCATAACTAATTCTGCAAATGCTTAACATACATCTCCTCTAGCCACAGGCACTCCATGCATCAACAGTCAAAGGCAGGAAAAACACTCCCACCCAAGCAAGGGAGGAGGACAACTCATTATATAAATACAGCACTGGGATTTTCCTGCTCTAATTCATCAGATCCACTGATAGTTCACTAATAATAAACAATAATTAAATCTGTGAATAGGAATCCAACTCAATCATCCCTCCACAATGTTTTGGATGACTTCTAATTAGATCCACAGTGCTAGGAGATATATTTGCACATGTAATGTAAATAGTATGTATATAAATATAGAAGTTTTATATAAATAAAACTACATATACAAATACACTTTTTAGTTTTGTGCAACAGACTATTCCTCAGCAAACACACACAGCTCATTTCTAATGCTTTTACTACAAGCTATGCATCCCTCAAAGACTTTCTTTGCACTGTCTTTATTTCCAGTATTTATTCCTAAAACGGCTATCATTATTAAAAGGCATAATTTATTAGTGTGCAACAGCAACAAGGAAAGACCTCTATTTGCTAAGGTCACTTTGACTGCTGTGGTAATAAAACTTACTAGGAAAATATTGATCAATTATCTTTTCCTCAAATGAAGGCTCACAAGGTGGTGTTCTACTGGTGGTAGCTTCTGCTAATCAAAACCTTTCAAATGCAAGAACTATTCGAAAAATCATGCCTTTTAAAAAACGTAAGTTTTAATGATGGATTTCTATTACATGAGACAGTTATGAATAACTGACACCAAAAAGAGAGAACATTCACAACACATTTGAGCCATGTCCAGCAGACTTCCATGGAACGATTCTCTCTGCTGCTTCTGGGGACAGTTACGTCTTTTTTTCATTCAGTAGTTGTTTTATTATATAGTCGAGATGAGTTCCAAGAGAAATAGAAGTTCATTAGATATGACTTAGAGGCTGATTCAAGTGACCAGTTCCAGAGCAGTACAGTTTGTAGGGCAAAAATAAAAGTCATTATAGAAGTGGCCAAAAGTGACAGGATATTACAAAAAGCTTTTGCCAAGAGTTTCAGCAGCCATCTGTAAAATGGAAGAGACTTTTCCAATGCGTTTGGCCTTAGGGGTAAAGGACATACCTGTTCTGCAGCCACTTTCATATAAACAGCACCATACGCTCAGAATCTCTACAACCTCAATCACCTTTTGTCAAAAGACAAAGTTATCATTATTATTTAGAAGGTAAATCAGTCATGACAAAAAGCATCCATTTTAAACAAGACTTCTACCTGAGATGGACTGAGAGCTAACAGCATACAACTCAACGCACTCTGATCACAAACAACGTGGTATGCAGCAGCTAGCCTTGAAGCAGCAAGTAGCCTTCTTCTGATTGCCATGTGTTAGCCAAATGTCTCTTCTTGATTCCTACTTACACTTGCTTTCTTTTAGTTCCAGAAAAGTATAGATACTCATGTGATGACTGTTACATGCTGGGTAACATACAGAGTTTCTTTAGTACCAGAAAAATATATTTTAAAAAAATAAAGTCAACCTGTCAAAATTTAAGTAGCATTTTAAAGCTGGTCCCTGATAATTAGCAGCAAGAAAAATTAAGACTTGCATGAATACAGATAGAATCTTATTTAGACTTCTAATCTCAAAGGAGCAAAGCCAGGAACTAAGCTTTAAGTGATAGCTTTGCTCTACATGTTGAATATGAAAAAAATATATAAATTAATTTGTTCTCTAAAGTAAATGCAGCATAGAAGCCACTCAGCCTGAAATTCCACAGACATCTCAAATGAAATAAAAGTTCCCATTTCCCCACTGTTTTTTCCCCCACTGTTTCCATGTTCTTATGCTGCCAAGCAGCATGTCTGAAGAAAGGGCCTGATTCAATATGGAAGAAGCAAGATGAAAATCAAGTGGAAGACACATAGCTCATAATGCCATGAAGCCACGTAAGACTAGGCTTGGAAAGAAAGAGAAGCTGTGGCTAGGATTGTGAGGATAAAGTGAGCAGGACTAGGAGCCAGGGTAAGTGAGCGCAACATGAACAAACCACAAAAGATTACATTAATCCTCAGGGCAGAAAAGAGTGGGTGACATGTTAGGTACTGGCATATCAGCCATTGCTTGAGAGGGGCTGCTTCAAATTGTTTCACTTGTATTATATTTACAAAAGCTAAAGACAGATGCTGAAAAGTTGTTAATTATGCAGCAGAGACTACAAACCATGATTTAATATTCTTCATGTGCCTAAAGACATAAACTGTTTCCCTTCTTTTTAATACACTTGTTTCACTGCCACATGACTTAAATGGAGTTGCAGTAGTTTAAATCAGGGTAAATCCCTGGAAATAAAGGCATTACCCTGCTGTGAAACTACTGTGAGGACAGGATGATCAACCCCAGTCCATAAGAATCCATTTCATGCTGGAATCTCCTCTAAATCACTTTGTGCAGCTACCTTAGCTCTCCAGCTCTAAAAATTCATTGGGAACATTTTCATTTCATTCCTCTCTTCCACAGTCTTAAGAAGATGACCATCTGTCATGCACTGGTCTAAAGTGTGTGTTTTCATCACATAAAAACTAAGCAGCATCTACTGTTATGCAAGCAAGTAGACGAAAAGCATGTCATCTAGATTTAAGGTAATAAACCCACAGGCCTTGGAATCACTCCCAAAAGCACTTAAGACAGGAAATGAAACTTTACTGCCCCAGTGTATTATTGTGGTGCCCAAGAGCACTACGATAGTTTGGGATGAGGCTCAGAATTTCCATTAGAGACCCAATTTGCAGGAAGTTTAGCTTGGCCACGAACATTTGCTTCAGGCTAAAAACTATTTTATAAGCTCTCCCTCCAAGTGCCAATAATTTAAAAAGTTTGGTTGGATTTCAGTCAACGAATAGCAATAAATTTGTCATCTCATGTAGAAGACATGATGATGTCAGTGGCCCATAGACTCTCAACAGAGACTCCTGCTAGACTTGGGATCCTGCCTATTTTTTCCTAGCCTGAGCTGCTTTAGGTTAATTTATTGACATCTCACTCTTTAAACATTTAGTCATATGGCTCCATAATTCCCCAAATTGCCTCAGGTCATCAAGAAGCAGCAGATGCAGACACAATGGTATCACAAGCAACAGCTACTGTTCAGAGGCAATCGTTGAGTTGCTGTTCTGCCCCACCATCACCCAGCTGCAAAACACAGGCCCAGACACAACATTGGACTCATTTTCTTTCCAAAACAGGAACTTCTATTACAGTACAAAAAAAACCCAAACAAACAAACAAAAAAAACCCACCAAAAAACCTAACAGCTTTCCAGGAAAGATTCAGAGGAATAAACAGAAAACTTTGAACAAATAAATATTTTTTCTGAAGTACCCAACATATCAATACACAGAAATAAAATCTGGAAACTGCAGTAAACTGAGTAGACTTTTTTGTCCAAGCTCAGAGAAATTAAAAAGGAAAAAAAAAAAACCCAGACACGCATCTATTTTACAGCCCTAAAACTTGTCACCTACCTACCTTTCAATCCTCCATTCCTTTCATGCAGACTCCCAAAATGCAATACTTTCAATATTCACCTTCCCAGATCTTCTATACTACTAACCTCATTATCTGGCTGGCACTTGCTGTCTTTAGTGGGCCTCTCCATTTTTCTAAGCATGGATTCCTCAGAATCTCCAGACTGAAAAGAAATTAATTGCTTTAGATTCAGTGTGCTGAGAAGCGAGCTACTTACCTGAATAAGGTGAGAGGAGAAATGAGCATAGAGTAGAACTGAGCACATTACAACAGTATGCTTATCCCTCTACCTGCACTCTTTACCTTGCCTCCCCTGCGCAGCAGACCAACCGAGCAAAATCGTCAGGTAAACATTGTTCTTTCTGAGTAATACCAGGAAGGTAAGAATCCTTAAGGCCAGCAGGCAGGTACTGACAGAATTGGTTTCTCACATCTAACAAAATTAAACTACTCCCTAATAGAAGCACCTTTGATGCCCATTAATCCCAAATTTCTATCATGAACCAGCACGCAACAGGAGAATAGGAAATATTTAGAGGAGGAAGAGAGAAGATAAAAAGAACAACAAAATGAAAGGCAATGAAGAGATGGCTTTTAAGGCAGCTTAGGGCCTTACACTGAGAAGGTCTCAAGTATGGGGAAACAGTGGGTGTTTTCCTTCTCAAAGATGCAACACGATGTGAAGAGTCCACTGCAAATAGAACACCCTTGCAAGAATCTAGATGGGCTTCCCAACAGTTCTTTCAAGGAAAAAGAAAAAAAAATCAAGCTAGAAGCAAAGAGCTTAATCTAGAAAGCAAGGAAAAAAAAACCACAGATGTACAACTCCATCCCGTGTGTCCTGCTACAGAAGAAGTAAGCTCAAGAGAGATATTAACTACTGGTTATGGCCCAAAGGAACTCTCTTCAGTCCCATCTTCCCCAAAAGTTGGCTATGGCTGCAACAACAGCATGCATTACTGGGAAGACACATGAGGATATAAGTACACAGTTCCAACAGTCACTGCCACCCATTTCTGCCAAACGTAATGTAATGTGATCAGGAACATTCAGACATGCAGAGGTTCAGAAAAGAAACTGCTTATTAGATGTTCAGGAAGTACAGTCAGATGAGTCTGATGGCTCAAGTCAAGATATATCATGAGAGACATGAAGTTACACACATGGCCTCAGTCACACTCTTACCAGATCAAATCCACACCGACACTTTAAATTCATGAGAGTAATTGCTGTTAAAGAAAGTACTTAATTGTTAAATGAGAAGAGAATACAAACATACAAGGTCGTTTTAACAAATGTTCAGTCCCTACCACAGCATGCCAAAAGTTACTGTTCTCTGAAATAAGATTTCAATTACCTTCTTCTCTGCTTTATCCGTTCCATGTTCTCTTAAATGCTCCCCTTCTTCTTCTCTGTCCCTTTGTCTATCCCTTTCCTGATCTTTTCCTCTATCTCTGTCTTTCTCTCGTTCTCTGTCCCTAGCCTTATCTTTGTCTCTTCCTTTCAGTCTGTCCTTTTCTCTTCCTCCTTCATTTTTTTTCTCTCTTTCCTGTCCTTTATTAAGCCTAAGATCATCTTCTCGTTCTATGTCTCCTTTTCCCTTGTTTTTTTCTGTTTCTCTTCCTTGCTCGGTTGTTCTGCTTTTGTTTCTTTCCCTTTCTTGTTTTTCTCCTTCCTTAAAGGTGTCTCTTTCAGGGTCTTTGTGCCTGTCTTCATTATCCTTGTGTTTATCACTTTGCTTTTCTCTTTCTTCACTCTCTTTCAAATCTCCTTTGGGTTTTCTGTCTCTGCTTGAGCTTCTGTCTTTAATTTCAGTGTCTCTTCTACCCTAAAAAGAAAGTAAAAACTAAAAATTAATTCCAAAACATGCCAACTCTGTCACGCAGTTACTTTCCACAGACAACAATGCAAGCTAAAAAAAACCCCCATAAACCGTAAAGAGCGGTAGCCCCTGTAGCCCACTAAAGTTGCAAATGCCTACCTCTTTATCTCTATGGCTTTTTCGTTCTTCTGTTTTGGATTCTCTGCTTTCTTTATCTCGAGATTTAGAGGATGGAGGTTTCCCTTTAGCATCAGCTCTTTCCCCAGACAAGATCCTTTTTACAGCAACATCACTGGACAGCTGCAAGGAATAGAAAAACATCATAGAAATGAGTCAAGTATTTTATTAAATATCGCCTTTCTTCCTATCTCTGTAATCAACATGACTCGGGTTTTTTAAATAAAGCTTATATTTCTGCTCTTTTGGAAACATTCTTTCACAGGAGTATTAATGCTCTTTTATGTCAAACACCTCCTTGTAATTCTTGTAATAATTTGATTATATGTGCCAGAGCTATATAAATACATGGTGCTTTTTATGTATTATAGCACAATAGCAATTCTCAACAACCTAAATATTTTTTCAAAATGGTAAGGTAAATGACTGTCAAATCCTTATACCATGACTGCTAGACTGGTTAAACACTCTTAAAAACCACACTATGTTGTATTTGCATCCACTTTTAGGCCACTCCACTTTAACCTAATACTTGTTCAATGAGCAACAGTCATTAAAGGAAAGAAAACTACATTAAGAATGACTTTCAATAAGCTGCAGTTACAGTGTTTAAAAAGCTTCTGCATCTAGTTCATTTGTTAAGATGACAAACAATTATTATTAGATCATTTAGACAGCAAGTGAACATCACATTTTCATGTCCAAGTGGCAAAGAGTTTGACTACATTAACAAAAAAAAAGAAAAAAATCATCACGCTGCCAGGGAATTCTTCCTGAAACAGGAGCAGCTTTTAGATCACTAAAACTGATATTGCCCTGGGGGTTGACTCCTGATTCTCTCCTGGTTTGTAAATGCAAAACTATGAATTTTTGTGGGTTTTCACATTTGGACACTAACTTCCGCATATTAGCAACACTTGCCTGAACTAAGTAACTCCAAGCAGCGTGCGCAGCTCAGCACTAAAAGTATCAAGCTAGAGACTGAAGGAAATTTTTTTCCCAGTGCACATAAAGCTTATGTTTCACAATAAAAGCCAAGGGGCTAATTATCTTAGCTCAAATGGGTAGACTATATCCTCTGAATATTAAATCTCACCACAGCATTCTACAAAGCTGTTCCACCAAGCACATTTTCAAACTCATCCAGTCTCTGTGCATATATTTATCAACTTCCTCCTTCCTGATCTCAAGCAATTCATAAGAAGCTCATAGCACTCAGCTAATTAAAACAAAATAACATAAATTTAAATGAGTAGGTTAAAGATAATCCAAACTAAACTTGCAGACAGCCTGTAAACACTGTAGTATTTCACAGTTAATTATATACAATTTCTTCATGCTCATTAATTCAAGGGGTTTTGATAATACCTTTGTATTTCAAAAATCTCTGTAACACCTATAAGCAAAGAATCCTCATTACTTTTAATGCAGCAATTATTTTAAGAACTGCCCCTGCAGTTACTTTTAACAGGTTATCAAATTTCTCTTTTGCTGCATTTCCATATTCAAAAAAGTAAAAAAAAAAAAAAAAAAAAACCAAAACAGCACATTGGAAAAATTACTTTCATTACAGAATTAGAGATTTGACTGAAATTTTAATGGAGATAAAGTCAAAGGTGGCAGCATCTGGTCATATAATTAACGTGTCTGCATCCTAAAGTTTTAAAAGTTCTGAAGCTTCATATTGTCCCTCAAACCTAATAAATGTTATCAAATGACCAGTGAATAAGGTGAAAAATAAAAAATAGTATACACTAAAAGCGCTAAAATATCCAGAACGTATTTGAATGGGGACCTGGCTCAAACTCTGCTAAGGTTCATATACCACCTATCTGTTGTTATTAAGCGGTGACCCAACATGTATCTTGTGTAATTAAAAATAGCAGATGAGTGTCAATAAAATCTCTTACAAATAAGCTCTGATAATATATCACTACGTGTATAAAATATATCACTATGTGTATAATATATATATAGTCATGTCATACTTTATTTAAGCAACACTTCCCAATTGCTTGAAGAAATTCATTGGTTTTTTCAGGTTCATGTCCAGCCACAACACGCGCTGGTTTTACTGACAGTGGCTCTCCTGTTACCATTACAACAGCATCAATTGCTTTCTGAAGGAAGCTGATTTTGGCATCTTTATCCTGGTAAAAGAGCAATTAAGAAATAATACTGAGACTCCAAAACAATTCCACACACTACCTAAAGACAAGAAAACCTCTGATGAGAGGAATAGTTGCAGAAAGCATCTGTACAACAAGAGCAGCATGTGGTTTGTAAGGTCAGGAAAGAGGGCTGCCCCTGATTTATAGTTAGCTATTTATTTCTGATTAAGAAATGACAGCTTTGATAATGGATGAACATTGAACTGGAATGACCAAAGTGAAAGTATAACTTTGTCTTTTTTAATATGTTTACCATTTAGCTCCAGTGCATTTTAAGACTGCTATAAGGCCCTTGGCACTCTATTTTCAAGCATTACATGTTGAAGATAAAAGTTTCGTTTAAGAAATGATTGCAAGTATTACCAAAAGAATCACTAAAGAGTTATAACAGGTCTGTTACAGCACATATTGCTCAGAAGGACAGTTCTTGCCCTGAATATTTTTCAGCACAGAAGTCACAAAGTTATGGGACTTCTATGAGTCCAAATTGAGGGACTTGCATGCTTGTATGCATAATTTACAAACCAGACTTAATAGTGAGTAAAGAAAACATAGGAAAGATGATGGGAAAGGGATACAGGCACAGATTTTTATCTCTACAATTACCAGATGTGTTTTAGTTTTATAATTATACTTTATAAACAACTTTCCCCAAGTGCCCTTCAGTAGAGATGATGGCTTTTGGTGATTATACAAAATCATAAGAAAAAAAATAAAGACTAAATAAACCAGCCCCCACCAAGTAGAATTTTATTGGAGGGTTCCTGGCCCAGAGAATGAAATCATGGTGCGAAGTCTCTGCAGCTGCAGCATACTCAAGGGGAGAAAAAAAAAAGGGTTTTATTAATAAAAACATTATAAAATTCAAGGAATATTTACCAGACCCAGCACAGAAGTCTACTCACTCATCCTTCACAGTCATGAGTGGAGATAAAGAAAGTATTTTATTAGCCTGTTAAAAAGTAAACCCACATGAGAAGAATTCTGTATACGTGTTTTAATAGGCATCGGTTCAAAAGAATATAAACTACAGCATTCAGACTGATAATTGCAAAGCAGACCACTGCCATTTCATTTAATTCAGAAAAGAAGCAGTTGTAATTATCCAGTAAAACACCTGATTGCACTGCACTTACTGTCTGAGTATCTCAGGTGCAGAGATCCAGAATGACCTGGATCTAATTTGACAGACATACCAATACAGAGGAAAGCAACAGAAGCCAGTATTTCCTCAGCTGAGCAAGGCCGACACTCTTTACAGGCCACCTGGTAGTACTATCTGTCCCTGTGGCACTGGAGCTTAATAGAGCTGTTCATGTGTTATCTCAAATCCTAGAGCCACTCTCGATAAACAAGAACTGGGTTCTTCTGCAAGCACATGAATGAAACGAAGACAGTTGCTGCACATATGTGTGCATGATATTGTGTAACATGCAAGGGGATGTCCAGACCAGGAGCCGGCCCTAACCGCCACAGAGGCTGGACCACAAGCTTTGGGCTTTCCTAATTTCATTCTGTGCACCTTGTGATCTGCAACAGCACAGCACAGCCAGCTTGCAAAGAGCAACTGTCAATTTTTCCCAGCCCACAGCAAGCAGACTGTGGACTACAGCACTGGGACTATTTCACAGTGAGTACAAAGCTTTTCTCTTTTCTGAAAGCATCCTGCCCATTCCAAGTCTGTGCATCTACTGCCAGATCATCACACCAGATGAGTGTCATTCCCTAGAGCAGATCACCCTTGCACAGAAATATATACAGCTATTCCTAACATGGACTTTGGCTGCTGCTCTCAGACTCTAGCTCTCTGTGGTAGTTTTGGTCTCTGCATAAAGATTACTTTCCCAGTTTTCTACAACTCCAATAGAAATGACAGTAATGAAGCATCCTGTGACAGCCACGTCTTTCTCCTGACCAGTGTCTTGAAAAGAGGAACACAAGCTAGAGACGTTTTCCCCCACATTACAGCATTTTCATCTCCTCTGCCTGAACTCTTGAAAACCATGATCTCATGGACTGTGAAATAAATTCTCAGAGAGGTACTCAAGACTGGTGCAACTTCACAGCTATCACAGTATGTAGGTACAAACAAAGACCTACTCAGGAGTTGCTAGGAAATCTGCTTTTTCAATCCACAAATAAAATGCACAGTGCTCTCCAAAGAAGAGACAGCATGTGCTAAGCTACTCTTTGTCATAGAAACTATTGACCAGCTTCAACAGGGACAGTACCAACAAAAACAACATCTTGTATAACTAATTTAGATTTTAGTTATCCCAACAACAATAAGAGCTGTCACAGAGATAAACGTACATATCAGATCAATAATTAGCTGCAAGAAATACATAAAACATCCATGCAACTGGCTGTATGTGTGAGAAGCCAGGCTCATAGACCTCACACTTTCAGTTGCTATGTTAAACAATCACCAACGGATGTAGCTGTCCAACTAGCAACAAACACTGCCTTATTTGCCATGAATAAGCAACCAAAGTTTCCAATCAAGTCAATAGCTGAAGACAGCATCAGCTCAGCAAAGAGGCAGACAATAGAAGAGCAGCAAACAGAGACTAAAGTCACCCTTGTAGTTATGAAAAGCATTTTTCAATAACATTAACCTTCTCCTTCAGTAATTAGCCATTTGTATACTGCAATAAACCTACTGTAGAATGCATGTAACAGATGAATGTCTCAGCAAGTCCTGGGATATTAAGCAAGAATATTTACTGTATATTATGTATACAGTATATACAGATGTGTATATACACACACACATATATAAAGCAATAAATATAAACCCATACATTCCATTGAGACATGTGCTGGTTTTGACTGGGATAGAGCTAATTTTCTTCACAGCAGCTAGCATGGGGCGATGTTTTGGATTTGTGCTGAAAACAATGTTGATAATACAGGGGTGTTTTAGTTACTGCCGAGCAGTGCTTACACAGAGTCAAGGCCTTTTGTGCCCCTCCCCCCACCAGCAAGTAGGCTGGGGGTGCACAAGAAGTTGGGAGGGGACACAGCTGGGACAGCTGACCCCAAATGACCAAAGGGATACCTCACAAAATTTGATGTCATGCTCAGCATAGAAAGCTGGTGGAAGAAAAAGGAAGGGGGGGACGTCCAGAGTGATGGCGTTGGTCTTCCCAAGTAACAGTTACGTGTGATTGAGCCCTGCTTTCCTGGAGATGGGTGAACACCTGTCTGCCAATGGGGAGTAGTGAATGAATTCCTTGTTTTGCTTTGCTTGTGTGCACGGTTTTTCCTTTACCTATTAAATTGTCTTTATCTCAACCCATGAGTTTTCTCACTTTTACCCTTCCAATTCTCTCCCCCATCCCACCGGGGCAGGAGTGAGCAAGCAGCTGTGTGGTGCTTAGCTCCTGGCTGGGGTTAAACCATGACAAGAGGCCACAAGACTCTTTAAAAAGCTGTGTGTAGATGTCTAGTGTTTGGGATTTATCATCAATGTCTAACTACTTCAAGGCAATCTTGCTACATAATGATTCTTTTCATCTGTAACACAACAGGATTTTGGAAACCTAGGCCTGGTCGTAGATCAACCTTCAGTTTCAAGGTCTTCACAGAAACAGTTCTTTACACACAACAGCTTGTTTGTGTCACATCCACAAACACAATCTACAGGTGTTCACCCCATGCATAATAAAACCAACAGTCAATAGCTTTTACAGTTTCTTCACAAAACTAAAGACAGGTCTTTGACATTGAACACAGAAAAGATCAAAAGTACCTTGTGGCAAGTTTCAAAGAATACTAATAGCACAGCTAAATAAATAAGGAAGTTTCATACCCACCTTAACGTTATCTGATTTCAATTCAAAATCTGTGTAAAGTCCTTTCATAAAACCTGTCACTCTAATTACCTTCAAAACAGGAGAAAAGGAGTAAGTTAAGAACACTTGAAGGCCTCTGTTCAACAAAGCTTCTGTGGCAATAGGAAATATGTTGGCCTTACTTGCTTTCAGAGATGATACCTCATTTAGAACTATTTCTAGAGCAGGTTCAGAGGTATGCTGTGTCTCTGAACACGCTCTGGAACAACGAGACTTAATCATTGCTTAAGGCTCAGGCATCCCTTCCTGTTTAATTCCACCTTTAACCTTGATGGTTGGTGTATGTGGGAGATTTACAACATAAAAACCAGCATATGCATTTTAAACGTGGCTTTGCATTATTCCCTTATTGACTTCTTTACATGTGACTATATATAAAAGCAGCAGCTTAGTGAATATAAAAATTAAGACTTTATTTTTTAAATGGGAGGTGGAAAAACAACCTACTAGCAGGTTTCACAAAAGATCAAATCCATGCCAGCCTGAGGGAAGGAGTCTGACCCCGCGTCTGGTCTTAACCACCAGCAGCCACCCTAAAAACCCTGAGATTTACTTACTACCCTAAAAACCCTGAGATTTACTCA